TAAAAACAACACAACACCAACGTAATAACCCGGCGCTTGCACAGGGTGGACGATCCCCAGTTAATTAGAAATTGCACAGTTTTTTTTTTAATTTTCTTAGCCCAAAAGTTGAGGAAATAAATTTTGATCTTTTAGAATTCAATTAGTAGCCCAATTTTCAAAAACCATAGATGTTTAATATTTATCCTTTTTTCTATATTCGCATTCCAAAAATCTTAATTTTTACAAACACAATATTTTAGTATTTTAAAACTACTTAATTTCAAAACTATTAATTTATGTGTTTGAAAATGTATTAAGTTCATATGTATAATAAAACTATATATTTTCAATCTGAAAGTTACAATACGTACTTTTCATATTATAATTTATATTATCAAAATATCATATAGTTTTAATTTTATAAATATAATTTTAGACAAAAAATAGTGATAACTTTTACATTATCAAGTATGATTTAAAACTCATGTACATAATATAATTTTCTCAAAACAATAAAATTGTACATCAAAGTTTATAAAAAAATATCATCAAATCATAAAATGTTGAAAACATAAAGTATCAAAATAAATACAAATAATCCCGCGCACAGTGCATGTTAGAATCTAGCTATCTCTTTATATGAAGCATTTATCTAAACTAAAATTGGAAAAATACACTGAATGATCTTTGTAAAGGTGAAGTTACTATTTAAATTTCATTACGCACCTTTTAACTAGCTTGTTCATCAATGTTATAAATATTTATAAACTGCAAATTACAATCACAATATTAAAAAACAAAATAGTTATCATGTTAATTTAAAATTACTAAAATAGTCACATAACTGATTTCACCAAAACTAAGTACTGTGGTACATAGCAACTAAATTTAGTGATTAAAGTTCTTATCTGTGACCATTAAAAGATATGTGGGATAAGAAAGAAATAAAATAAAGAAAATGAAAAAAAAGAAGATGATTATTTATTACTTATGTTTTTCTTGGATTTGATAAATAATATATTTATTATTCTTTAAATGTAAAAAAATGTTAAAAAGTTTTAGATAACAAATATTCTTTGTAAATGACGTAAATTATATGGAATGTAAAAAGAATTTACTATTCTCACTCATTTCTTTGTTCATCATTTAAAAAAATATGAAAAGAATTCATTATTCTCACTCATTTCATTAATCACTCATTTTCTTTGGTAACATTACAAATATTTTCATAATTTTGCTATTTCCATAAAATAACTTATAATAAATTTTACTAACTAAAAATATAAAAATTAATTATAATAAAATAATTATTAACTGTTTATGTAGTTCATATTTATAAAAACTAAGCAGAAAACATGAAAATTTGAAACCATTAATAAAATTGTTGGAATTGCGCCAAACGTTATGATAAAAGCTACTAGAATGTTGCTTATCTATTTGCTAAAACACATATGTTTCCTCTTTCGGTAGTTATACAAAATTTAACATTGTTTTTTTGTCAAATTAAACAATGGTTAGATCTGCTTTTGGCCTAACTTTAAAATTTCTTACAAATAACATATATTTATAATGTTAGTTGGTTTTGGATGTATAAATGAAACATCTAGATAAAGTCCATTGACCCTACTAGTTATGGCTGTCATGATTCTGAACTACTACTTTTATCTTGTTACCTATTCCTAACTTTATTAGATTCATTTATCCAAAAGTTAAATTCAAAGAGGATTAGACAAATCACTGGATGTGATATCTCCAACCATAATGTAAAATCACAATATTTTAGTGTATTTTCAACAATAATGTTTTATCTTCGTCAGTCACAACATCAATGTTTACACAAAAGCTATATTTTCATTTTAATAATATTAATAGAAATTTTGTCATCACTTAATATGTACAATAAAATTTTTTTACTATGTAATTATATTATATTAAATAAAATTACATTACACTAACATATTTTAATAAGTATTTACTATTAATAAATATTAATATTAAAGTAATATATTAAATAAACTTTAATACATGTATATTTATTTTAATAATCTCTTCTTTTTTTATTAAAAGAGTAATGGTGACTCCTTCCGGATGGACTGTTAGGAATTGATTTATTTTACTATTCTATATGTCATCATTTTATCATTGATATTTATTTAAATTAATCTGAATAGTAGCGTATCAAATTTGGTATAGATGTTCATAAAGTACATGTATATGATGCATTATGAAAACCTAGCCGTTGTCAGGTCACTAACTTCCTTAATGGGAGCACGTTTATATCTTATTTTGTCGGTCGATAAGTTCCAACCTAGAAAAAAAATGCCACGTTTGTAGCAATATTCTGATTATATATCTTATGTATTTACGTTTGTGCGCGTGCACATTTTCGTCTGCGGGGTCTATTGATTGGTAAATGTGAGTGTTTATGGGTATGAATATACTAATACTGCAACACATATAATACTATGGTCCCTGTCCCTGACTGCCTATGTTGCTTCAAAGGAACTCAATGTAACTTACTTACTGATCATGGTCAAAAAACATATGGTCTCGAATTTTGCTAAGGCCACCGATGAATCAAGACAATGAGATGTAATTATTTCTGTTGGACCATTTTCCCTTAAAGTGCTCGGCTTTATCAGCAAACCCCACACAAAGAAAACATTTTTCTTAATTAGATCTTTTTTTTTTTATTACAAGTGGTTGATCTAATTCTGACAAATGTAAGAACTCTTTAGGTAATGGAAAGACAGGGAATCAGATTAAGATCAAAAAGAGCTGGTCAATGAAATGAAATTAGGAGACTAATTATGATGATTACTAAATGGGGTTAATCATAATAATCTCAAACATACGTGTTCTCCATTTGCATAAGCAGCCGAGCCTCTTTTTTGGCCTTTATTTCCACCAAACTTCAATTCTCTATTTGTTACAATATGACCCCAATATTTTAACATTTATCAGTTAAACCCCTTTTTTACTCCTCTCTGAACCAGCATCTCTCCAGACAACAATTACGAATCTTTCTTTCACTGCCAGTTCTCAAATTCAGAGCTTTCTTTGAGAAGAAAGAGGAGAGATCAATTATTTACTGGGCAGGGCAATTATAATGATGAAGGCTGTTGAAAAAATGTGCAAATACTTTTCTTGTACCTAAAGCTTTTGCCTCTCTCTCTAGAGAGATGGGCCCCCATTTTCCTAACGGTGTTTCTTCCTTTTTTATCTAGTCTCCTGTGGAGCTTAATGGCACGACGTTTGTTGCGTTGTAAAAGTTTCCACTTTTACTTAATTGCTCTCTCTCTATTCCACATTTTCTCTTTGTCGAAATTTGAAGTATCCGGATCTGAATTCGTAATTTTAATATTTAGATTCGGATTTGTGTTTTTTCGGATATCCGTCTAGATATTGTGATATTCGCGGATATCCAAATTCAGATTCAGATCCGTAAAAATAATTAAAAAATAAAAAAAAAATCTAAAAATAATACCTAAATTAAATATTTAACCATAATTTATGAATATATATATCACATATAATATTATTAATATAAAAGTAGAATATTATAAAGTTATTTTATGTAGAAATATTAATATATCATATATAATTAATAATAAAATAAAAAGTTTAATATATTTTTTAAATATGGATCTGAATTCAGATTTTCAGACCTAAAAATTAAGATATTGGGATCTAGATTAAGCTTGCACCGATCCTAGATTTTACTATCCGGATTTGGATTCGGAAATCTCCGGATATCCTAATTTTAGAACAAATCCCGGATAAAAGTTTCAGCCAATCTTTGCCCAGTTGAGAGAAGCCTCTCTCCATGAAAACTAATGCTTTTGTCGGTAAAGAAACTTTAATTTAATTTAATTTAATTTAATCAACATCTCTCTCTGTCTCTATTGTTTGTCAAAAAGATGCCCACCAAAGAGAGAAAGAAAGAAAAATATCTCTTCTTTTCTTTTTTCTCTTTATTCGAATGTTGAAAGAAGAAGGTCATTGTTGATCAACTGTGCGGAAATTGAAACTTTGATTTTTGCGATATTACATGATTTAGAAAAAAATAAAAATAAAAAGCTTTTCTCTATTAGTTGATCTCTCGTATATGATTACAGAAGCTTGGGTTTCTCGACAGAACCTGGAAAAGTTGTCAGATCAACAATGTGGCTGGAGTTTAATAAAGAAGCCTCAAGATACACTTTTACCTTCTCTTCCTCCCTCTTCTCTTTCATGTTTTTATAAAAAAAAAAAGCTTTTGAGTAAATCATTTGCTTAGAGTTTGACGTCTCCTCTCCACCCTTGGCTTTAAAGATATCCTCTTCTTCTTTTTTTCTACCGTTTTGTCCGGCGATCAAAGAGAAGCTCTGACGACAGAATCTTGGCATCAAAGGAATTTTTTGGAGCTTAGTTTGAGGATTACTTCCTGCTTCAGTTTGCTACTCTTTGATCAATGGCTTTGTCCATAAGTAAAACCCAGCTACAATAGCTGGTTGCCCTTCAGGGAAGTTTTGGAATCAAATCAGGAATCTAAGGTACTCCCCTTGTACTTCTTCTCTTTTGAAAGGGAAAGGTATCTGATTTTGCTCCTTAAGTAATGGCACTAGTTACTGTAATATCAAATCTTCTTACTTGCCTTTGGTTTTAATGATTCACACCATTAGTTTAACAGTTTCTTAGATTGTAATATGAGTTTTGATTTGGATTGGATAGGGGGAACTGGTAGATGATCCTTTACTTCTTTCTGTTATATTTGTTGGTTTGTTTCTCAAGGATCTGAGGTTGTTACAAGTATTTACTTTATATATAAGTACATCATATCACAAGATTTCTTCCTTCTGTATTTGAACTTGACTTGTTACCCTTCTGTTGTGTCATTTCCTGTCTTATCTGTTGCTGCTTAATTAATAGTTTTCTTGTTCTGCTTATGTTATGGAACATCCAAAGAGAATAGCTACATAAAGATTAGGGGAAAAGGAGCATTAGAAAAGAACTGAATACCATCAGAAATAAAGCTAATGGCCAAGAAAACTCAAAGACGTGCAGCTGCTCGAGTAGAGAGGGATCAGTTAGGCTGCATGTGGGGGTTTATGAATATGTTTACTTTCCGCCATGGACCACTCTCTCCCAAGCTCCTTGTTGACCAAAACCATGGTAGTTCACTTGTCTCTCTCTCTATACCTGTATATTTCTGAGTTTACATTACATGTGAATGAGTTGTTTTGGTTAACCGTTATGTTAATTGTTTTCAGCTGCTGGAAATCATAGGAACAATGAGATTGACAAGTCCAGCAAATGCCGTGACAAATCTGCTCAAGACACCCTTGTAAGCTTCAACCTTATTGGAAACATCATTGCCTCTTCTTTTTCCTCTTAAGAGTCTCCTGTGGGGATTAAACTAGTTGTTCCTTAAAATGTGAAAAAGGTTGGTGAAGAGCCCAATGTCACGATTACAATCATAAAGCCAAGTGTGAAGAAACTCATTGCAGAAGAGTTACTCGTTGACAAGAAGCAGAGGGAGAATGCTGAAGCAGGACAGTTGTCAGACTCTGAGCTCGAAGGAAGAAGAAGGAAAAACCATAGGAGGAAAAACAAGACCCGCAAGAACAGCTGCGATAACTTTAGCAATATAACCACACCTGACACTGAAGAGCCTCAAGTTCACCGCAGACATAAGAAGAGCCATCATGCGTCTGAAAGGAGTGTTGACATTGATAACATGATTGAAGAGTTCTATTCTGAGATTCATCGCAGAAGTACAAGCCGTGGGAAGAATGGGATGTTGAACCACAAACACGAAGATTATAAAGAAAAACTGAGGGAACTGGTCAAGTTTTTAATCAGCCAGAAGCTTTTACATGGGAACCGTCCCAAGGAGAATAGTGAAATACTTACATCTAAGGACTTGATGGAAGTGTTTCAGATTCTTGGATCAGATGAGGAGTTGTTTCTCAAACTTCTGCAAGATCCAGAGATACTTGTGCCAAGAGATATATCTCAAAATCTACAAAACAGTCAAAGTCAGAAAGGAGAAGAAAGCTTGAGCTTGTCTGATAAGAGATGGTCTAGTTTTTTCAGGAGGAAGGATACACCACAAGAAAGGACTGATGAAAAAGCATGTGAAGCTTCAGACAGGATTTTCATTCTGAAGCCAAGCTTTTCAAGTCCAGAAACAGGAGGAAATAGCCGTGGTTCCTCACCTGATTCTCATTTGATGAGAAATAAAATACAGAACGAGAGAAACAGTTCACATTTCTTTCTTTCTGAGATCAAGAGGAAGCTGAAACAAGCAATCAGAAAGGAGCAGCCTGGACTCCAGCGTGAGAGAGGTTTTCCTAAAAATGTGCCAACTAAAGATCATTTCTTTCTCGAGCGGATGGCAAAGCCTTCAACGTCTCAGAAGAACAATGAAGATGATAGAAAGCAAAGGGTATCTAACATTTATACAGAGGCAAAGAAACATCTGTCCGAGATGTTAAACAATGGAGATCTTGATTCGAACATAACAAGTAGACAGGTTCAAAGAACCTTAGGAAGAATACTCTCTCTTCCTGAGTACTTGTCTCCTATAAGCAGCCCAGGAAGAAGATGGGAAAAGAGCTCAACTGCTGCACACAGGAAGTCTGCTGCTTCATCGGATTACATAAATGCTGTGAACATCAAGAAAGAAGCTCATGTGAGCCAACCAGAGGATGCAATAAAAAGTGATGATACTCAGGCCTGCGTTCTAAGCAAAGAACCTGACAGTGCTGCCGAGTCTCTCCAACCAACCGCAAGTGAACCTACTGATGGAACTGCTAACGAAGATAAAATATCTGCTGCAGGTAATACTATTTCTTCACTCTTTATTTAGAAGACGGTGATTAATCTAATAACCAGCCAAACTTGCAGGTTCTGCAGATGATGTAATGATTACCAATGAGATTGGTATGGTTACAGAGGAAGCAAGCTTTACTTTGGTTAATGACTTATCCAAATTAGAAGTTCAGGATGAACAGATGGACGGTATAATCTCAAAACAGGCAAGTCATTTCGCTTCAACGCTATAATATTTATCATTTTGTATTTAATCTGAAATGAAGAAATAGTGGAAGACTTGAATCTGTTTTGCTGCTTCGTTTCTTCTACAGATCTCTCATGAAGAGAACCAACTACCACTGGCTTCCTCTGTGGCCTCACCATCTCACTGTTTAGCTAAAAGTGAGGAGTGCAAATCAGCCGCTACTGATACTCCGGAATGGTCAAGCCCAATATCAGTTCTTGAGCCACTCTTTATTGAAGATGATATAAGCCCAGCAAAAATAAGATCTCAGTCTGGTAAGTGAAAAAATGATAATCTCAGCATTACTACTAAGCTTGGGTTCTAGTACATAGTTAGTTCTTCATCATGAGCAAACATTGACTCATCTTTACATCTCAGATGAACCACAGGTGCAACCTTGGTGTATCCACTTCGATGAAAAAGAAGATTCTGCAGCTAAAAGCCGAGAGGATTCTGTCAAATCCATCACAAGTGACAAGGAAGTGGTGTTTGGTTATATAAAAGCAGTCATGGACGCAGTAGAGTCAGATTTTAAAGAGCTCTATCTGAAGGCGCAGTTCTCTGATCAGCTTCTTGAACCGGCACTGATCAGCAATGTACCATTCTGTCCAAGCCAGCTTTGCCATGACCATGAGCTTCTCTTTGACTGCATCAATGAAGTTATCATGGAGCTCTGCTGTTGCCCTCCATGGGCTTCCTTTGTTACACCAAGAACCAGAGTCTTCTCTACCGTCAAAAGCATCATTCACGAGGTTCAAGAAGCGGTCTACTGGCATCTCTTGCCATTGCCACTCCCTCACGCGTTGGATCAAATAGTTAGGAAAGATTTGGGTAAAGCTGGAAACTGGTTAGACATCAGATGTGAGATTGACTGCATTGGCTTTGAAACTAGTGAGTTGATTCTAGAGGAATTACTTGAAGAGGTCACTCTAAACTGCCTCAACAACACTGAGCACTCTCTTGTTCCATCTGAGTTGAAGACCGATGAGAGCATCCTTATTTTATAAAAGTGCAAACTCTCTTCTTAAAGACAGAGCCATTGTTGAGAGAGACAGCTGCAAGCTCAGAACATAGCCTCAGTATCACCATTGCTAACTTCCATTAGCGCAGAACCATGTAGATAGTGTGTGTATTACTCAAAGACAATAACTTTCAGACTGCTGAGAGAGACAGAGAAGAGATAAGATCCTTTCGAGACCAGTTTGTGGTGGGGTCATTACAGAAACACTTTCAAAGACAGGACCACTGGTCTCTTGTTTTAGTATACTATAGGATATGATTTATTTTAGTATGAGTGTGTGTTGTGTGTTGAGATGTGATAGTGTTTTTGGTTTCATTGATTTATTTGTGTGTAACATTTTCAGAAGTTTGACATATGACAATGTATTTATAGGAAGTATGATCTGGGGTGGACAATCTTGAAGAGTACTTTATTTATTAATGAAAGTTAGAAGATATACAAGGTTAGTGTAGTTGGAAAGAAGAGTAAATTACAAATTGATTAATGTGTTGTTATAGATTGTAGTCTAAGATTGGTGAGTTGACGATATTTTTTTAGTAAGGGGAAAGAAACAAGCATAAAGCAGAATTTGTAAAGAATTTTATGGAAATGGAGAAATGAAATTTTATGGATCGTTATGACAAATGTGAGGTACAGCTTTGGATAATGTTTTCAGTTGTTGCACTTTATGCCCTACCTTAGTGAATAGCATTTCTTGTTGATGGGATATGGGTGTGGACATTAGATCGTACACCTGATAAAAGATATGATTCCATATACAAACTAATTAGTAACTCATGAAACTTTACTTCTTCATAATACTAGATATTAAAAAACATTTGTTACACTTTTTCATCTAATATTATTATTATTTTTTTTTGATCAAATTCATCTAATATTATTAATATCAACCGTAAGATAAATAAATGTACAACTTTTTTTTCCCTACCTATATGTTAATGGACTACCTAAAACTAACAGTTCTTGAAAGAATCAGAAGAAAACATAGAGATTAAAAAAAAAAACAGTAAAAATGGGTGTTGAAAATTAGAAAATCACAAAACCAATTTTGATAGTTGAATATAAGATTCTTCAAATCTCTTCCTACAATTCAAAAATAACAAATAACCTGTGAGAAGATAATAAATTCAGAATACCTAAAACTAACAGTTCATGAAAGAATCAGAAGAAAACATAGAGATTAAAAAAAAACAGTAAAAATGGGTGTTGAAAATAACAAAATCACAAAACCAATTTTGATAGTTGAATATAAGATTCTTCAAATCTCTTCCTACAATTCAAAAATAACAAATAACCTGTGGGAAGATAATAAATTCAGAATACCTAAAACTAACAGTTCATGAAGAATCAGAAGAAAACATAGAGATTAAAAAAAACCAGTAAAAATGGGTGTTGAAAATTAGAAAATCACAAAACCAAAATTTGATAATATAAGATTCTTCAAATCTCTTCCTACAATTCAAAAAAAAAAAACAAATAACCCGTGGGAAGATCATAAATTCAGAATAGTTTTTACAATACCAAACCCTTTAGTGCATCCATCCACTATTATTATGTGAAAAACTAGTCTCATAAATAAATGAAACTCAAATTTACAATTAAGCCCTTAGAGCATAAAGAAAGGAAGAAGCTTGAGGGCAAAATCGATCGAAGAAAAAAGAAAATAAAAGGAGAAAAGGCAGAGAGATTTATTTGTTCGTCCTTACCAGAAGAGAAGAGTGTTGTGTTGTTTAGATCGGATTCAATCCAAACCCAATCCAAGACTTCCGTTTATTATTCTCTTCTTCCTCGTCACAATTCCGAATCCCAATTTGACGAAGCTGCAAAACACACAGACGCAATTCGTTGAAAAAAAAAAAAGAGTCAAACTTTTTTTTAACCCCAATTAGCTCCCAGAAAATTCTCTCAATCAGGTTCGAATTCGTTCTCAAAACCCTAACTTTCGGTTAGCTCTCGATTTGAAACCCTAGTTTTTTTTTAAAATATAGTAGTTGGATTTGTTTTTCTAGCTCATGTTCTTGCCAAAGGCTGTAGCTTTCGATTTCATTCACCTTTTGTGTCCTTTGAATCGAATCTCTTATCTTTAAAAATTTCACTTGTGTGTATGTTATTAAAGAAAGCTTAAAACTTTCAAGAGATATCTATTAGGCGAATTAACCTATATCTCTACTTAGAGTTGAGCTCTTTTTTGATAGGATATATGTAGATTTAGTGGTTTACTTTTGATGTTTCAGGGTTTAATGAGGTCAGTGCTAAGTTTATGCTGTTAGAAGAGGTTCCTTATGGTGATAGAGTGCAGATTGTTCTTTGAGTTTATCAGGGTATGTTGATGTCAGAACCAGTAGGCCGGTTTTAGTCTGGAGATATGCAAAGGTATCATCCTGCTAACTGCTCTAGTGCAGTCAACAATAGCTCTATAGGTGGTGGTTCTTCAGGACGGTCTGATTCCTCTTCTATTGGAAACTACTCCCTAAACTCCAGGCATGTCCCATGTCTTTTTCATTTCCCTTTTATATAAGTTGATACGCTTTGAAGACGTGTATATACTTTTTGTTTACTGCAGGAGGCCACCTCCGTTGACACCCTACAAGTTGAAGTGTGAAAAGGACGGTCTAAACTCCCGGTACTTTTTTTTTTTTTTTTTTTTTTTTTAACATTTTGGATTTTATACTTGATCCTGTGTTTGAGTTATTGTGATTTCACTATTTTATCTCCACAAGGCTAAGTACTTTGAACCCTTGTTAGTGCTTGAAGTTGTCGACTCGTTTACTTTCTTGGATGATTTATGTTTCTCTAAAAAACTGCAGACTTGGACCGCCTGATTTTCATCCTCCAACATCAACTTCTCCCGAAGAGAACCTAACCAAAGAGTATGCTCAGTCTGGATACAAGGAAACTGTTGATGGACTTAAGGTGCGATCGACTGAACTAGTTAAATATGCGTCCTGTTGTGCTATCGTAAAACGTAGAAAATCATTGATTAATTATTATTGATATGTTTGCAATATACCTTCCTTCGACCCATGTCTACGCTATTTCTAGTAGATGCTCGAAATTAAAGTAGGAATAATGTCTTACTGAGGCAGAATGTGCATTGGAGTGATGAGTTCTAATTGAGGTTCTGTTCCTTTTGGTCCTTATAGGAAGCGGAAGAGATTATATTGACTCATGTCCATACTTTTTCCAAGCCTGTTGTCATAAAGTGCAAAGAGGTACGGTATTAGAGAATATAGACAGTGTTTACTCTCTTATTATTATTATTTTTTATCTCTTTTGGAGTTCATTTGTGTGTTCTTGTGAAATTAAATTCAATCCTATCCCGCAGGCTATCCGAAAGTGTTTTAGAGCTATCAATGAGTCTCGTGCACTGAAGCGCAAGGTAAACTAGCGATTCTAATTTCTTTCCTTTTCAATTTAAGCGTGTGCTTTATGTGCATAATATTAGGGTTGCAGACCCAATCACATTGCCTATACTTTTTAATCTCCCGATTTATATGGCAGGCTGGTCAGGTTTATGGGGTGCCTCTCTCTGGTTCGCTTCTGTGTAAGCCTGGATTCCCAGAACAAAGACCATGTGGGGAGGAGACGAAGAAAAAATGGATCGAGGTACTCTGGCATATCATTATGCTTATTTAAACTTCGTAATGATACTTTGTAATCCACGTTTGTTGCTGTACATTTGGTATATCTTCCAATCAATAGACATGACCAAACTTTACTTATTTACTTAATGTGAAAGAATTACTAAATATTCAAGTCTTCTTGGTTGTTATGGAATTCTGATAACTGAAAGCACATGTTTTAAATCTTTGCTGAAGTAGAATATTTAACTCATTTCATGCTCTCATTTTTTTCTCAGAGTTTATCACAACAACACAAGCGATTACGCTCTTTGGCTGATAACATTCCTGGATATAAGAGAAAAACCTTGTTTGAAGTCCTCATAAGGAACAATGTTCCGTTACCGAGAGCTACTTGGTTTATAAAAGTGACTTATCTTAACCAGGTACGTTGTCGGGAACAGTTCGATTGTCTATAATTATAATCTTTTCGGCGTTGGAGGATATCAATTTTTGTTTTCAACTTGCAGGTGCGACCTAGTTCCGCGTCTATAATTTCAGGGACACCTGACAAAACACAAATTACGCGGTGTGAGCAATGGACAAAAGATGTTATTGACTACCTGCAATACCTCTTGGATGAACTTTTGTCACGGAATAATTCATATCCTTCTCAGCAAACTAGAGATAGGTCGCCACAGATGCTTTATCCAGGATCAATTCAAAAGATAAGTCCAGCATCAGCAAGTCTTTACGGTGAGGAAACATCTCTGCATTTTAAGTGGTGGTATATGGTGCGTCTTCTACAGTGGCACCTTGCTGAGGGGCTTCTTCTTCCTAATCTCATTGTTGATTGGGTTCTCAGACTCTTACAGGTATGCTTCTAGATCAGTTTGTTGATCCAAGATGGTATTCTAGTCTTCAGCTTTTTGATTTCCCCTTCTGATTTATTGTAGGAAAAGGAGGTCTTTGAAACCTTGCAGTTGCTACTCCCCATTGTATATGGTGTTTTAGAGAGCATTGTTCTCTCTCAGACATATGTGCAGAATCTTGTAGCTATTGCTGTCCGTTTCATCCAAGAACCTGCTCCTGGTGGATCCGATCTTGTTGATAACTCCCGAAGGGCCTATACTCTCTCTGCTTTAACTGAAATGGTTCGCTACTTGGTACTGGCTGCACCCGACACATTTGTTGCTTCAGATTGCTTCCCACTACCTCCTTCCATAGCAGCATTTGGACCCAATGATGTGAGCTATGCATCAAAAGCATATGAGAATCTGGAAAAGCTGAGAAGCAATTCTGCAGAGATTTCTACCCAGTTTCAAGGGAGAGGAGTTGATTCTCGTTTTGAGTTTCTTTCTTTTGATTATACCATTTCAACGGTTCAGAGAAGTGCAGATGATTTGGCAAAGATAGCTAGCGCTGGTTATCCTCAACATAACGGGGCTAAAGCTGTTCAGGCCTTGGATAAGGCTTTATCGGACGGAGATATTAGAGCTGCTTACTGTTATCTCTTTGAAGACCTCTGTAACGGAGCCGTCGAGGAGACCTGGATTGCTGAAGTCAGTCCATGCTTAAGAAAATCTCTTAGATGGATAGGGACTGTTAGCACATCCTTTGTTTGCTCCGTGTTTTTCCTTATTGAATGGGCGACATGTGATTTTAGAGATTTTCGGGATGGTGTGCCTAAAGATATCAATTTCTCTGGCAGAAAAGATTGTTCTCAGGTGCATTTAGTTATTCAGCTTCTGAAGCAGAAAAGTCTGGGTGGGGAATTTGCAGCTCGCCGAGGAAAGAACCATCGCAGCAATTTTCTTGGTGTTTCTAAACCGAACGGGTCGATGGATGCATTTGAAAGTCCGGGCCCATTACATGATATCATAGTCTGTTGGATTGATCA